TGAATAAACCGTGAGTATCGAAAGATGATGTTTACCTTCCTGTGATATAAATTATAATCATCATGTAGATTCACTGTAATGTTGATTGAATGATCTCTTGTTCACGTTTATTTTGGATGCACCATTTCAGAGAAGTCTTAAATTATATTATTATGAGATAGGGTCTTAGTAGGAATTAAGGTGTTACATCGTTATTGCAATGTGAACCTTTTTTGGTAAAAGTAGACCGTATAGCAATAGGAATCAAATTCTCTATTAAGATATGATAATCATGAGACTTTAACCCTTTTAACTTGAGGTCCTTCAATGAAACGAGACTTTTGATGTTTGATGAATACCCCTCAGGAACCTTAACTGAAAATTAATATCTTCTTCCAACCTCTACTTGAAATGTCTTTGGCAAATGGTTTCCCAAAAGTTGTTTTGATGTCTTTAACCTTTTCAAAAATCTGTTCTCCACTTTTTGAATATGGACATCGTCGTTCATCACAACTTCCATTAAAGGCTTTCTTCATTTTTCTGAAAGATGATTTTGTGGCAACCACCTACGATGCCCCATGAAAACATTCTTGTGACAGTGTTCAAGTATGATATAATCTGTAATTTCATAACATATTGGACATGCACATTGACCCTTTATGCTATAACCAGAAAGATTTCTATAAGCAGAAAAATCATTAATTGTACCATACAACATTGCCTTAAGCGTGAAAGATTCATCTCTAAACCCATCATATACTTCAATGCCAATTTCCCACAACCGCTTCAAATCTTCAATTAGAGGAGACAAGTAGACATCAATGTCATTTCCAAGTTGTTTAAGACCAGAGATTAACAAAGAAAGCATCATATATTTCCACTTCATGCAATACCATGGAAGCAAGTTATATATTAATAAAATCATAGGGCATGTACTTTGGGTACTACATTGCATGCCATGAGGGTTCATTCCATCGGTTACCAAAGCAAAGCATATATTCCTTGTTTCTGTTGCAAAGTCTTCATCTTCATCATCAAATTTTTTCCACTGAGGAGAATCTGCTGGATGCCTAAGCTTCCCATCTCTAATTCTGCCTTCAGCATGCCAAGTCATCTGCTTTGCATTTTCTACAACGCGAAATAAGCGCCTTAATCTGGGAATTACTGGGAAATACCACATGACCTTTGCAGGTGTAGATTCTTTCTTTGTGTAACGTGACTCATTATAGTTTGGACATTGGCTTAGTGATGCATACTCTTTTCGAAACAAAATGCAATCATGAGACAAGCATGTATCTTCTCACGGTTCAATCCAATGGAAGCAAGTACTTTTTTAGCATCATATGTTCTCGTAAGTAGCACATTATCCTTTGGTAGCATCTCATTTAATAAAGTTAGTAACTCTGTGAAGCTTTTATTAGTCTATCCATTCATTGCTTTGAGGTTATAAAGCTTTAACACAGAACTTAATCTCGTGAACTTTTTGATCCATTGTACAATGGTGTTTCTGCATCATCTTTTAGCCTCTCAAACATCTTTGGACAATCTCTAAGATCTTCTTTAACAACATTTGGAATGTCTTCAACATGATCACTCTCATCTGTTCTTAATGTCTTTGAGTAATAGAGACTCGATTCCATGTGATGTGATGAACTTTCACCTTGTATCTCACCGTGCTTTGTCCAACAGGTATATTTTTCATCAATCCCATTGCACATTAGATGTTTTTCCAATTCTTCTGCATTTACTTGCATCATATTCAAACAACACCAACAAGGACATGGAATAAGGTTGACATCAGTTGCATACTTAATCGTAAATCTAATAAACTCCTTCACTCCATCTTCATATTCTTCACTCAAACGATTAGGAACCATCCAACTTCGGTCCATATTTGCTCTAACTATGGTTATGCCAAAGCTTTTCATACCTGATGGAACGATTTTTCACTACTCGTTATGCACAAAGATTATCGTTAATCCTCATCAAATATGCAAGATATAAATGCAATACTAGGGTGTTGTCCTAGGTTATCTCCAAGGAACTTTTGGTTGGGAACATACATCGAACAAGTGTAAACATATATTTTAAAGCAAGTAAATTGGGGGGAGGTTTGTCAATTTCTAGATTTTAATCAAGAACAGAATGTAAACTAATGAAATTCAATCAATTAAAAAGAGTAATCCCTAGTCAATCAATGAGTTCTATCCCTATTCTTTCAAATGATTCAATAATCCTCTATTTTTCCCTTGAATTAAGTTAATTTAACAAGCAAAAATTAACTTTAGTATCCCAATTAAAATTAAGCATCTTAATGGGCTCCAATTCTCTATCCCTAAGATTAAGCAATCTCAAAGATTAATCAAAATTAAGCAATTTTAGATTAGAATTTCGTTGGGTAATTTAGGGTTCATTAAGCAATGTTCCCCTCATGCAAATTTCATTTCATTCAAAGATTGGGGTTAATAAATCCAAGGAAAGAAAGAGTGATATTGCCATTAAACTCAAGAATTCAAGAACCATATAAGTTGACTAGGAATTACAAGAGAATTTAGCCCTCCATATGGATGGGCTTCGCAAATGAAAGAAGAGAATGTAGAAACATAAGCAACATTAATGTAAAATCAAGGAGAATCAAAGGGAAATTGGAAATTAAAACCTATAATGGATCCTTGGCTGTCACCCAAGAATCCTAAGCTCTGCAAAAATGCTCCAAAAGTGGTAAAAGAATCTAAGGAAAATTGCCTCCCGTACCCTAATTTCTAAAAGTCTATATATACTAAGTCTGACATGGCCCCATAGTGATCACTCTGTAAAACAAGAGAGTAAACACGCGCAGCAACTTTAGCTTTTTCCCTTTCTGGAGTGATTACTCTCATTTGTGAGAGTAAACACGCGCATGGCACTTCCTTCTGGGCGTCTCTGGAGTGATTACTCCCATTTCTGAGAGTGTTTACGCGCAGGACACTTGGGGTCTGGGGCTTCTGGAGTGATCACTCTGATATCTGAAAGTGGTTACTCTGGCCTATCCCTTGAAACCAGCTCCCTGGAGTGATTACTCTGGTATCTGATAGTAGTTACTCTCAGTTCATATTTTTTTCAAAGAGCCAAAAATTCATGAAATTTGTCTAGAATTTCCTGCACAATTATTCAAATGATCAAAATTGCAAAATATATTCACAAAAATTAATGGAAATAAGACAAAAATTAAGAAAGCTATTGTTTTCTACCTAAATAAGATTTTAATGTTATTTACAGCCTCTAAATCTATTTTTTTCTATTAAAACTTTATAAAAATCAAATAAAATATCTATAAAGTGTGGATTCATCACAACCCCAAACTTAAACTTTTGCTTGTCCTCAAGCAAACTAAAACTCAAGAAAATTGAAGGTAAAGGGTTGGATTTATCCAAAAATTTTCTCAAAGATTTCCATTCCAATCTTAGACTCCAATTAGCACTTCCAATATTTTCAAAATTATGGATTCATTCAACAAAACAATCACACTCACATCATCTATTTGCATGCAAAATCCCACTAAACCGAAACAAAAGTCCAGCAAGGTTTTATGCAGTCCACACAATGCAAAGAAATCATCCAGCTCACAGTATAGTGTTTCACTCTCACTCATTAATATTGTAGGCTCAGTGTTTCTCTCAATTCATGCATTTTGCCTCACCCTACCATATGTTTGCCCATATTCTCAATCTCCTTTGCCTAGATACAATGAACCACCTATCATAAGGGCTTTGTTGGTCACAAATGTGGTTAGGTTAGGTTCAATTTTTGATCAAGGAATGGCAAAAGCTCAAGTGGGTTTTTAAGAAAGGAAAATTCTTTTGAGTGAATGAGCACAATAACTAGAATGGAATGCACTAAAGGATGCAATTTATGAGGTTTAGGCATTCTTTCATCATTTTTTTTTATTTTGCCTTATGTGGAACTTCTTTTTCTATCAAAAAGACTTGTTGTATTTTTCTTTTCCTTTTTCCTCCATTCCTTCATTTTATTATTATTATTATTATTTTTTTCGATTCGTTGGACTTTGGCAATCATTCTTTTCTTCAAATTCAAGCATTTTTTTTTTGACATGTAATATGAACATGTATAATGCTCACCACCCCAAACTTAAGATCTTGCTTGTCCTCAAGCAACTATAGTCAAAATTAGCACCCCAAACTTAGTTTCTTGCAATCATTCTTGACGCAACTCAAAAGAAATATCTCTCTTAAGGGAAGGAAACTATGTTGGCAGGCTAAGTTTAGCAAAAGAAGGGAGTGTAGAACAAAGGAAATTTGGTGGGGGGTGTTCTGGGGTGGATATGTGCAAAGAAGGCCTCAATCATCTAGATGAAAAATTATACAATGCATATTCAATTAAGAAACAGGGCAAGTTCTAGAAGATGAATGCAAAAGTACATGTAATGTGCACACAAAAAAGAATTTTAAGGCCCAATTCTCTACCATGGTAAAAGAGATAATTTCTTAGCAACATGTGAATACAGTTCACCTTACAGGAAACTATGTTCAGTGTGGTAAGAACGATAATTGTTGACAAAATAGAGAATGATTGAGTTGAATAGGAAGTGCGATTAGAATATAAAATCAGAATTAGAAAACTAAATTTCATCAAAAATAAAAAGTAAAGAAACAAAGAGGTTGTTTTGGTATTTTATCTATGAACTATGCAGGAAAAACAGACTAAAAAATGCGAAACAGAGGCAAAGAGATCACCCCCCTTTCAGAGTCACACTCAGAGATCAATTTCATGCTCCTCTTGATGTTACTGAGGGCATTCTCTGCACAAAGACGCACAAAGGATTCAGCACAGAGTATAAGAATAGAATTTAAACTGCAAATAGTATATATATGGAAGCGTCAAAGAGTGTTCAAGGGGTGATGCATGAAAACAAAGGGGAAAATAGTACTAAAGATGATAATTACAATGAAAGGAGTATTTACTAAATACAGGGAAATGAACTAGAAATTGTAGAAATATAAATGACAGAAAGAAAAGCAAAGCTATATAAGATCTTCATTTGAGCTGGAGGATGAAAGATTGTTATCATTCTCATCATCATCCTCTTCCTCCTCTGAAGAATTGGAGCTGTTATCCTTCTCAGTTGCAGGTGCATGGGTGGTGGTGAATGGAGGTAAATCCTGGTTAACTGTGTGAAAGAGTGAGCACTATATATATATAGGGGGGCCAGAGTGGTTACTCTCAAAAGTTAACAGTGAACACGCGCACAAGGTTTTGGTGCAAATGAGCTGGGCGTGTTCACTCTGCTTTTTAAGAGTAAACACTCCAGAGGCATCTAAGTTCAAAAAGAGGAATGAGTCTGTGCGTGTTTACTACCAACTTTACAAGAGTAAACACTCCAGAGGCTTATAAGATCAAGGTGTGTAAAAAGCTCTGCGCGTGTTTACTGTCAACTTTTGAATAGTAAACACTCCAGAGGCTTCAGGGTGAAAGTGGGTAAAAAGCTCTGCGCGTGTTTACTGTCAACTTTTCAATAGTAAACACTCCAGAAGCTTCACCCTGGGCGCTGTGCTAAAAGGCTTGGGAGTGTTCACTATGATTTTTAAGAGTAAACACGCGCAACACCTTGGGCTTACATGCAATGAAAGTAATCACTATTAAATGTGAGAGTGTTCACTACAGAGAGTGAAAATACAAGTTAGAATTGAAAGTGATTACTTTTGTTCAGGAAAGTGCTCACTTTCATGATGATCTTTTGTTTTCTTACCAAGGGGATTGCCTTAAGCCTGAAAAATATTTACCATCCTGCTGCATTCAAACTTGCTTGACTTTGTGCAGCATTTAGCCCCCACAATTATGATCTCACTCTGCCAAAATGGAGATTATGCAGAAAAAAACCATGTTAGTTAATGCAACAAGGTAGCAAGACAAGGAAGTATCAAAATAGAGAGGCTCAAATGTAAGACCAGTATTTACTGCAGAAAAATAACTAAAAATTCCTAAGATCTTTTGTGAGTTGCCTCTCACACAGCGCTTCTTTAACGTCACTAGCTTGACGCATGAAGTGGATTACTCAGACCATAGGTTGTAGGAGAGGTTAGTGCATGGTGAGTGTAGTTCAATCTCCTCAACTTCTTCCAAGGTAACTGAATTTTGTAAGAATGGCTTCAACCGATGTCCATTCACCATAAAGCTTTTGCTAGTGGAGTCACTTATGATTTCCACTGCACCATGGGAAAATACCTTCGTAACAGTGAAGGGTCCAAGCCATCTTGATTTGAGCTTTCCAGGCATGAGTTTAAGACGAGAATTAAACAAAAGAACCTTTTGACCAACGTAGAACTCTTTGCTTGAGATCTTCTTGTCATGATATTGTTTGGTCTTTTCCTTGTAAATTTTGGAGTTCTCATAGGCCTCCAGACGTAGCTCCTCCAACTCTTGCAGCTGTAATTTCCTCTGCTCTCCAGCTGAGTCATAATGGATATTGCAAGTCTTTACTGCCCAGTAAGCTTTGTGTTCTACTTCAACTGGTAGATGGCAGGCTTTTCCATAGACCACCCTGTCTGGTGACATTCCTAAGGGTGTCTTAAATGCTGTTCTATGTGCCCACAAGGCATCATCAAGCCTGCGGCTCCAATCTTTTCTATGGGGCTGCACTACTCTCTCAAGTATTTTCTTGATTTCCCTATTGGAGAGCTCAGCCTGCCCATTTGTCTGTGGGTGATAGGCAGTGGAAACTTTGTGCACAACTCCATATTTCTTCAATAAGACTTCCATAGTCCTATTACAGAAATGACTTCCTTGATCACTAATGATGGCTCTAGGGATTCCAAACCTACAAAACAAGTTGCTACGGACAAAATCTGCAACAACTTTAGCATCATTAGTCCTGGTGGCTTTAGCTTCCACCCATTTTGAGACATAATCAACAGCAAGAAGTATATACAGAAAACCAAAAGAGGAAGGGAATGGTCCCATAAAATCGATACCCCAGACATCAAAGATGTCACAGTACAGGATGGGTTGCTGAGGCATCTCCTGTCTCCAGGTAATTACTCCGCTTGCTCTCTGGCATCTTTCACAGGTGGAATATGCTTGCCATGAATCCTTGAAAATGGATGGCCAATATAGTCCTGCATCCAATACTTTTCTTGCAGTCCTCTGGGGTCCTTGATGACCTCCTACAGCTGAGGCATGACAGAACTGCAGTATTGATGAGATCTCTTCATCAGGCACACATCTTCTAATAACTTGGTCACTGCAGAATTTCCATAAATAAGGGTCATCCCAAACATAGTGTTTGGCATCACTCCTTATCTTATCCTTTTTGGCTTTTGGTGCATCTATTGGAAAAACTCCTGCAACAAGAAAGTTAACAATATCAGCGTACCAAGGTGTCTGTGAAGCATACAACTCTAAGAGTTGTTCATCAGGAAAATCATCTAAAATTGGAATAGGGTTAGGAACTCCCTTTATTCTGCTCAGGTGGTCAGCTACCAGATTTTGGGTTCCACTTCTATCCTTGATCTCCAGATCAAACTCTTGAAGTAGAAGCATCCATCTTATAAGCCTAGGCTAGAATCTGTCTTTCTCAGTAAATACTTCAAAGCAGAATGATCAGTAAAAACCACAACTTTTGACCCTAACAGATATGATCTAAACTTATCCAGTGCAAAAACAATGGCCAACAATTCTTTTTCAGTTGTGGTATAATTACATTGTGCTTGATCCAAAGTTCTAGAAGCATAATAAATGATGTGAGGAAACTTACCAACCCTCTGAGTCAATGCAGCCCCCACTGCAAAATTGGATGCATCACACATTAATTCAAATGGTGAGGTCCAATCTGGAGGTTGGATGATGGGTGTGGTAGTCAGGGCTTCCTTAAGCATATTAAATGCTTCCTTGCACTTTTCATCAAAATTGAACTCAGCCTCCTTTTGCAAAAGCTTAGACAAGGGAATGGCAATTTTGGAGAAGTTCTTAATGAATCTCCTGTAGAACCCTGCATGACCAAGAAAAGCACGAACCTCTCGAACACAAGAGGGGTAAGGTAGTTGTACATTAACATCAAGTTTTGCGGGATCTACTTCAATTCCCTTTTCAGAAATGATATGGCCTAAGACTACACCTTGTTCTACCATGAAATGACATTTTTCAAAATTTAGCACAAGGTTAGTATCAATACATCTTTTCAAAACTTTTTCCAAATTAACCAAACATGCAGAAAAAGATGGGCCATATACAGTAAAGTCATCCATAAAGACTTCTATGCAATGCTCCACTAAATCAGAAAAAATACTGAGCATGCATCTTTGAAATGTGCCTGGAGCATTGCACAAGCCAAACGGCATTCTCCTATAGGCAAAAGTGCCAAAAGGACATGTAAAAGTGGTTTTTTCCTGGTTTTCAGGTGCTATACAAATTTGAAAATAACCGGAAAAACCATCAAGGAAACAATAGTGAGACTTACCAGCCAACCTTTCCAACATCTGGTCAATGAAAGGCAACGGGAAGTGATCCTTTCGGGTTGCTTGGTTAAGTCTCCGGTAGTCTATACAGACTCTCCAACTGTTCTAGACTCTGGTTGGTATTAACTCATCTTTTTCATTCTTCACCACAGTGAGTCCAGATTTCTTGGGAACTACTTGGACCGAGCTGACCCAAGTGCTATCAGATATAGGATAGATAATCCCAGCTTGCAGCAACTTGGTGACTTCTTTCTTTACCACATCTAAAATGATGGGATTTACCCTCCTTTGAGGCTGTCTCACTGGTTTAGCACCCTCCTCCAATAATATTCTGTGCATACAAAGAGAGGGGCTGATTCCAGGAATATCGGCAAGCGTCCAGCCTATAGCCTTCTTGTGCCTCCTTATCACTTCTAGGAGCTACTCCTCTTGATTGATATTCAGCTTAGTGGAGATTATCACTGGGAGCTTCTCATTTTCCTCTAAATAGACATATTTCAAATGCTCTGGCAATGGTTTAAGCTCTAGTGTAGGAGATTGCTCCACAGAGGGGAGTGACTTGGCACTTTCAGTAGAAGAAATTTCTGCAACATTCAAGTCAAAGGGGTTAGATTCAATTATACTTGCTGAACTCAAAATATCACATTCTTCCCCTATTGATTTTTCAATTTCCTCAATAACAGAAGTTGCAGAATTCACATTCAAAAAGTCAGAAATACAATTGTCACATACAGAAGAATTATTACAGTATTCACAAATGGAATTGTCTATAAATTCAGAAAAATTAAGAGCAAAATCTTCTTCTAAAAATTCAGAACATTGATCATCTATCAAATCATCCAGCAAATCAATTTGGAAAACAGAGTGTTCTTCCAATGGATGCTTCATGGCGTCCAAAATGTTGAAGCGCACAATGCTGTCTCCAAACTCCATAGTGAGCGTCCCAGCGTGCACATCAATTTTCGTTCTTGCAGTCTTCAAGAACGGTCTTCCCAAAATGATTGGTGCCGCACCTTTCACTGATTCTCCCTCTTGCATGTCCAAAATGTAAAAGTCAGCTGGGAAGATGAGATCATTCACTCTGACTAATACATCTTCAACAATCCCAGCTGGGTTTGTTATGCTTCTGTTGGCTAACTGAATAACCACACCTGTTGGCTGCAGAGGGCCAAGAGATAGTGAAGTAAAAATAGACAATGGCATGACATTTATAGATGCTCCTAAATCTAGCATGGCATTCTCAATCATATTATTACCAATAATGCATGGGATAGTGAATGTTCCTGGGTCCTTACATTTCTCAGGCATTGTGGACCTTTGTTTTTCAAAGAGTGCAGAAACATTCCTACCCATATTTACCTTCTCATTACCCTTAAGACGCCTCCTATGGGTGCATAAGTCTTTCAAGAACTTGGCGTACTTGGGTATTTGCTTGATTGCATCTAGTAGAGGTATGTTCACCTCTACCTTTCGGAAGGTCTCAAGGATCTCTTTCTCAGCCTCTTCAATCTTCTTGCTTGGCTGGATAACTTTCTGAGGAAATGGTAGAGGAATTGGCCTATCAACATTTTCTGCCGCCTTTGGTTGGGCAGATGTAGGTTCTGGTTGTTCTTGAACCTTTTCCTCTCCATTTAGATCAACTGTAGATGGAGCACATTTTAGGTCTCCTTTCTCTTTGGACACTGTGGGCTCTTGCATCACTTTTCCAGACCTCAGAGTGATTGCACTCACATTTTTAGGATTTGCTACAGTTTGTGCAGGGAGGTTTCCTGAACCTTGAGATTGCATCTGGTTCAGAGATGAGGCTAGTTGTCCCATTTGGTTCTCCAAAGTCTTAATACTAGCCTCGGTTCTTTGCTGGAAAGTGATGTTGTTCATGGTCAATTGCTTCATGAGCTCCTCCAGTGATGGTTCATTTTTCTGGGGTGCATTTGGTTGTGAGGAAGATGGTTGGTGATGTTGTTGGGCTTGTTGTGGTTGATGCTGAGATGGATGGAATCTATTTGGGCCAGCATGATGTGCTTGATATTGAGTTCCGTGCTGCTGGTTCTGGTGTTGAGAATTGTTCCCCCATCTCAAATTTGGATGGTTCCTCCAGCCTGGGTTATATCTATTGGAAGATAGATCCCAATTGGGCTGCTGCTGCGAATTTGGAAAAGGAAATTTATTAGTGTAAATATTTGCAGCATAGGCCTGAGGATTACCTTCTAAAGTATCAGACTCTTGTAGTGTAGGACAGCTATCAGTGTAATGGTCTGTAGCTGAGCAAATACCACACAACATGGCTGGAATGGGTGGTGGAGCAGATGAGGATGCAGCAGCACTCTTTTGCATAGAAGCCAATTGCTTCACCATGGATGCCAATTCATCAAGCTTGTGTTCTATTTTACTAGACTCAGCAACTTGAACTTCACTCACATTTCTGGTAACACAAGAATTTTGCCTTGTTGCAAATTGTTGTGAGTTGGCAGCCATATTCTCTATCAAATTCTGGGCTGCAATTGGAGTTTTGTCAACCAACGCCCCTCCACTTGCGGCGTCTATCATGCTTCGGTCCATAGGGTGCAGTCCTTCATAGAAGTACTGTATGAGCAATTGATCATTAATTTGGTGATGAGGGCAGCTAGCACACAACCTCTTGAATCTTTCCCAATATTCATAGAGGGTCTCTCTTTCAAGTTGCCTTATCCCACATATTTCCTTTCTTATGGACGCAGCTCTTGATGCTGGAAAAAATTTCTCCAGGAAAAGTCTCTTCAAGTTGTCCCAACTAGCAATAGATCCTGGAGGGAGATAGTAGAGCCAATCCTTGGCTGCATCCATCAGAGAGAATGGAAAAGCCTTTAACTTGACATGCTCCTCAGGCACACCTTGTGGCCTCATAGTTGAACAAACAATATGGAACTCCTTGAGGTGCTTGTGCGGATCTTCACCTACAAGGCCATGAAATCTTGGCAACAAGTGTATTAGTCCAGTTTTTAGAACAAAAGGAGCATCAATATCAGGATACTGTATGCATAAAGTTTGATATGTTACATCTGGTGCAGCTAGTTCCTTTAATGTTCTTTCATTGTCAGCCATGTTTTCAATTCCAAATTCTAATGAATGGGGTGATGAATAGATAGATGAAGGAGATGAAAACTCTTCAAAATGTTCAGAACTATCCCTATGTGTTCTAATGCTACTATGAAATGTCCTATCAATCTCTGGGTCAAGTGGATACAAGTCCCCAGGATTCGATCTGGTCATGCACTAGAAACTAATTATAAGGAATGAAAGAAGTAAGCTAGATGAAACAGCAAAAAATGCAGAAAAAAATCAGATGACACTTATGCAGAAAACTAATGTCTATGTGCAGTAAAATGAAGCAAAGAGGTTAAGCAACAAAAACAGAAAAGGAATTGCAATTAATTGTAAGAAAACACAACACAAGCTAGCAAATGCTGCAGAATTATGCAGCAAAAACAGAGTAATAATGCAGAAAAACAGGAAACAGAACACTAAAATAGAGCAACTAACAAGTTCAATGCAAAATTAACACTAAAGTTCCCCGGCAACGGCGCCAATTTGATGGAACGATTTTTCACTACTCGTTATGCACAAAGATTGTCGTTAATCCTCATCAAATATGCAAGATATAAATGCAATACTAGGGTGTTGTCCTAGGTTATCTCCAAGGAACTTTTGGTTGGGAACATACATCGAACAAGTGTAAACATATATTTTAAAGCAAGTAAATTGGGGGGAGGTTTGTCAATTTCTAGATTTTAATCAAGAACAGAATGTAAACTAATGAAATTCAATCAATTAAAAAGAGTAATCCCTAGTCAATCAATGAGTTCTATCCCTATTCTTTCAAATGATTCAATACTCCTCTATTTTTTCCTTGAATTAAGTTAATTTAACAAGCGAAAATTAACTTTAGTATCCCAATTAAAATTAAGCATCTTAATGGGCTCCAATTCTCTATCCCTAAGATTAAGCAATCTCAAAGATTAATCAAAATTAAGCAATTTTAGATTAGAATTTCGTTGGGTAATTTAGGGTTCATTAAGCAATGTTCCCCTCATGCAAATTTCATTTCATTCAGAGATTGGGGTTAATAAATCCAAGGAAAGAAAGAGTGATATTGCCATTAAACTCAAGAATTCAAGAACCATATGAGTTGACTAGGAATTACAAGAGAATTTAGCCCTCCATATGGATGGGCTTCGCAAATGAAAGAAGATAATGTAGAAACATAAGCAACATTAATGTAAAATCAAGGAGAATCAAAGGGAAATTGGAAATTAAAACCTATAATGGATCCCTGGCTGTCACCCAAGAATCCTAAGCTCTGCAAAATGCTCCAAAAGTGGTAAAAGAATCTAAGGAAAATTGCCTCCCGTACCCTAATTTCTAAAAGTCTATATATACTAAGTCTGACATGGCCCCATAGTGATCACTCTGTAAAACAAGAGAGTAAACACGCGCAACAACTTTAGCTTTTTCCCTTTCTGGAGTGATTACTCTCATTTGTGAGAGTAAACACGCGCATGGCACTTCCTTCTGGGCGTCTCTGGAGTGATTACTCCCATTTCTGAGAGTGTTTACGCGCAGGACACTTGAAAGTGATTACTCTGGTATCTGAAAGTGGTTACTCTGGCCTATCCCTTGAAACCAGCTCCCTGGAGTGATTACTCTGGTATCTGATAGTAGTTACTCTCAGTTCATATTTTTTCCAAAGAGCCAAAAATTCATGAAATTTGTCTAGAATTTCCTGCACAGTTATTCAAATGATCAAAATTGCAAAATATATTCACAAAAATTAATGGAAATAAGACAAAAATTAAGAAAGCTATTGTTTTCTACCTAAATAAGATTTTAATGTTATTTACAGCCTCTAAATCTATTTTTTTCTATTAAAACTTTATAAAAATCAAATAAAATATCTATAAAGTGTGGATTCATCAATACCTTAATTAACAATTGCTGGTTAAAGTTTTTCATGGTAGGGCCGTATCCCATTTGAAAATAAAGTTTTTCATACCTTAATTAACAATTGCTGGTTAAATGTGTTATTTTATACTTGACAAAATTTTGGCAGCATTTCGCATTAGTCTCTTAGTACACAACTTGAAATGAGATGATTTACCTCAATCAAGCATGCACCAGGAGATAATGACAAATGCATTAAACCAAACTTTTGTTAAGTATTAAATATAACATTATCTACCAACATTTGCTAACCACTGAATAAATAACTTTGTTCACAAACTGTCCAGCTTGGACAATTTAAGATTGAAAATAATGATTTATTCAATCATTATTTTGAACCTTAAACGGGAAACTAAGGTTTCACACAATTTCAGATTTCAAAGTATAATTTCTAACAGCATAACATCAATAATAACATGCATTCAGAACATTCCATAAGCCATAACATTAAAAAAAGAAATAATCTTATTTCTTCACTCAAACCAAGCATGGCATTTCACTTCCTATATTCCAAGTTTGGTATACAATTTGAGGCCAAGTTTCATGAACTTATTTGAGGTCTCAGAACACATGATTTGGGTGATTTATTTCAAGAAAACTTAAGATATAAGAAAAGAATCACTTTGTCAATACATGACATGAAGTATCTATCTTTGACACTACTTTGCTCAAAATGCCAACAAGCAACAAATAACACAGAAACCATAATCAGAATCCTAAAGTGAAATCCATAAACAAAGCCATCACAGCATTTCTGGGCTGCTACTATGGTTAAGGCAGCCCGTATTAAATAATAATAATAATAATAATCTCACTAACCTCAAAATAATGTTATGGTACTTGTTGGGTCGTAGTTCACCTGAAGCCAAGAATGGAGGAGGGCACATTTTTGTAACTATTAACCTAAAAAAAAATTATGTGCCAGTCAACAGAGAACCAAATTGCTAAACGAAAGTACATACATTACTTTCAGGTTGCTTCCCTTCAATTCATGCATTTTGCCTCACCTTACCATATGCTTGCCCATATTCTCAATCTCCTTTGCCTAGATACAATGAACCACCTATCAAGAGGACTTTGTTGGTCATAAATGGATTAAGTTAGGTTCAATTTTTTATCAAGGAAGGACAAAAACTCAAGTGGGTATTTTAAGAGAAGGGAATTCTTTTGAGTGAGTGAGTACAACAACTTAGAGTGGAATGCATTAAATGATGTAGCAAATGAAATTCAAGCATTCTTTCACCATATTTTTCATTATTTTGCCTTATGTGGAAATTCTTTTTCTATCAAAATGACTTGCTATATCTTTCTTTTTCTTTTTCTTTCACTCATCATCATTTTTTTATGGACTTTGACAATCATTCTCTTCTTCAAATTCAAGCAAAAATTTTTTTGACATGTAAAATGCTCACCACCCCAAGCTTAAGAGCTTGCTTGTCCTCAAGCAACCACAATCATAATTAGCAGCCCCAAACTTAGTTTATTGCATTCACTTTTGATATAACTCAAAAGAAATACCTCTATTAAGGTAAGAAAAATATTTTTGCAGACTAAGTTTGGCAAAAGAAGGAATATGGAACAAGGAAAATTAAGTGCAAAGATGTTGAAGGGTGGGTGAGTGTGTGCAAAGAAGGCCTCAATCATCCAAATGAAAAATTGCACAATGCATATTTAATTAAGAAACTGGGCAAGTTCTAAAGGATAGATGTAACAATACATGTAAATTGCACACAGAAAAGAATTTTGAGGCTCAACTCTCTACCATGGTAAAAGGTGATAATTACTTAACAACATGTGATCATAGTTCACCTTACAAGAAAATATGCGCAGCATGGTAGGAACGATAATATTCAAAAACAGAGAATGATCATGAGTTGAATGAGAAGTGTAATCAGAATATAATTATTGTAACGCCTTATATTTCTTTCCTCAATATATGATAAATTTTCATAAAAATTTATATGGTAAAGTAAATTGTCCTTCAAAAACTTTCTAATAAGAAAAAGAGACGATGAAATGGTATAAGGTTCATATAAGTACTTTAGAAAAACAAAGATTCTAAAATTTTCATCAGCAACAAAAAGAAAGAGTAGTTCTACAACTGTTTCAAAAGAATGCTATAGAACTGAAAATATTCATTACATAACTCAAAATAACTAAGTCCTATAGCAGTTCTTATCCATCCATGCACTGTGAGCCTGGTACTATTCATCCTGGTTTCCTGAAAAATGTTGTGTAAGGGTGAGTCTCTACCCTACCACTCATACATTACACATATTTATCACAAAACACATCTTATCACAGTTAAAGAAAACATCATGGCATTACATATCATAGTGACATATAAAGCATGTTCTCATTTCAACACCTATTATATTCCATATATTCACAATTTCTTTTACTTTTATCCGTGCTTACCGCGCCCTGTGGCCACAGTTATCCGATACCTCTATCCCGAGGTCTTACACATCCATGTAAATAGTCGTCGAATGGCCCAATGCAATATAGATACAACGCATGCAATAGACGGCCCCTTAGCAAAGGTAATGGTCAGGAGTCAAGTCAGGAAACGAGTGTGCGGCCATGTGGTGCATTCAAACACAATATTCCGTGCATAATCCCGAATGTCACTCACCACCCTACATTTCCCCAAGATATACCATATCGTCTCCATCTTCCACTCCCCCAGTGTATCTCTGTAACTATTTACATCATATCCTTTTCCATCTTATACTCTTTCGAGTATATTCACATGTTCACTTATGCCATTTATCATGTGCACACATATTTTTCATTATATTTCCACATACTTTTCATCATATACATTAAACCATGGCATATTCGCAATACACATCATTTTTACATGAAACACAATATATTCAAACATGAAACATCCATCTCGTTGTATATTTCATACCACAAAATCATAAAATCATATCAACCATCCTCAATATACCTTATAATGCCCTATTTGAACATAATATCATATTTTCACCATG